CCCCAAAACCCCAAAACCCCAAAACCCCAAAACCCCAAAACCCCAATATAAGTAAACAAGAATGAAAATTCTGCCTTAGATTTTTACTTAAAGAGGGACAAATTCTTCTACCTCACGGCCACACTTGATGCATCCTCCTTGTTCGGTCCTTGCATTTAAGATACATTTTTGATGAAAATTGTGTTTGCAACGCAGTTGGTAGTAGATATTTACCCATATAGGGTATCCAAACTTTGGGCGAATGTTATACTCAAGTTCGGGAACTTTCAATGAGTTCAAACAATAGTCACACATAAGATTTTGATTATCTTTTTCAGTGTCTCCCATTAACGGTTCTCTGTACTTATCAAAAGAATACTTTCTATATTGCAATGGGAGCATGAATCGAGCTCCAAGGGTCTCCTGGGATCTCATGATCAGAATTAGAGCAGATTGGACAGCTAAATATGCGATGAACCAATATTTTATCACATCATCAACCCAAACATAGTCTTTCATCAGAACAAATGAAAAGTATCCGTATCAGGTAAAGTTTATCACATCTGAGAACCAATAAGTACCTAGAGTTCTTCCAGTTGCAATATTGAACAGTATATTTACTAAGTAAACAATACAAATTCTAAAGTAGATGTCAGGAGAGGCAAAAATATCGATCCAACTTGCAGAGATTATACCAAGCCATCATATGATTATATATTGGAGGATATGAAGGTTTATAGAGCGATGTCCTGGCTCTCTATCCCCTTCAACCCAAAAGATGAATTCTCGCCAAAAGCTCAAGACTTGTGATCAATAGATGCCTGCAGAAATTAAAGGAAAAATACAAATCAATATTCATACAGTCTACCCAAAACCCTGAATATTCTCTGTTCACTAGATTTCTCACTCTGTGTAAGACTCCATTAAAACTCTGGTATAAGAAGGCAAGAACAGATGAATAAAATACGATAGTGTAAATCTGAATCAGGCTTATTATTGACATATTGACTAAAACTTTTGAGTGTCTTGGAGCTTCAGGAGCTGATAAGTATCTGAACAGCCAAGGTGCAGTAAACCCTGTGTGTAGAGGAAGGTAGCATAAGAGGAGCGGGATTAGATAGTACAGGAAATTTGGGAGAGCGAATAGGATGGGCTCAGGATCTTTATAGCTCAGCTGCAAATGAGTTGGTGGGGAGCCAAGAGATATATCAATGAAATGGTGTGAATTTATGGTTGTGAAGGTGTATGTGTCAGTGATGTTTTCTAAGTAGTAGAGTGAGTTCAAAAAGGTGTCAGTATGAGTAGAGGTTTGTGTAGTATCACTGATGTAGATTGGATTTGAATGAATTCCTGATGATTCAAAAGTTAAGATGTCATATATTTTTGCATTCTTGAAAATTTTGATTCTGATTTTGCCAAAAGCTATAATATGAATTGATTATAGAAGAAATACTTGAAAATATTTGACCTATCTGAACATCCATCCATATTTTCCATAAATCATCCTATAACTCGACCTCCTTTCTTACATTATCTTCTACAATCTTCATACCTATAGCCCATAAATGTCTCCAATCATACCTTTCATCCCTTCTTTCTCTCTTAACTCCACTTCTATACCATCATATTCACCCAACACCCATTATCTCCCTCTACTCCTCATCCCTTACTATCACCCCTTCTTCAACCCCAGTCAGCACTTACTCATCTGTTCTCATCTCTTAATCAAATTCATGCTGACGAACGAGCCTGTTCATTCCTACACTATAAGCCTGTTGGTATCTTACCATGGGCGGGATGATCCTGCCAAGTGGGAATAGGTACAGAAGAAGGAATAGGAAGTTTGCGAACAATAGGAGTTTCATATTGAAATTTCAATTATTTTATTGGGGATGGGGTTTTGGGGTTTTGGGGTTTTGGGG